CTGGGATCTGGTTAGTTCCAAAGAGAGTTGTTATAAATGAGTGAGCCTGACCTGTCAACTCTTCTCTGGTTTCCTCTCCTGCCATGTCGTCCCTTTCTCAGATACTTCCATTATTGTGATACCCTCAATCATGAGCCTTTCACCAGAGCTGACGAGAAGCTGAAGCCATGGTTTTGGACCTCTGAAACTGTGAGATAAATAATCCTCCTTTTTTTAAAAAAATAAGTATCCAGTCTCAGGTATTTTGTTACAGCAATGGAAAATGGACCAATACATCCCCTTTCCTTTTCTATTACTTATCACATATTCTATTAATTAATCATCTTTTAGTATTCTGTATATTTTACTAATTTATTTTTATTTATCGTCTTTCCCAGGATAGAAGCCCTATGAAGTCAGGGATCCTTGTTTTGTTCACTAGGGTATCCTCAGCTCCATCAATAGTGCTTGGCACATGCTAGGCTCAATAAATTTTAGTTAGGTGAAAAAGTGAAAGGGTTTTTATAGGTTGTTTCTCCTCATCTTCACAGGTCTTATTGATAAAGAATTATTCTCAATTTACAAGTAAGGAAATTAATTTTAAAACTTACTAAATACTTGTAATACGCCAGACACTATAGTCTAGGCAGTTGAGTCTCAGAGGGTTAAGAAATTGGGCCCAGGTAATAAGGCTAAGTTCATCAGAAAATACAACACTATGCTGTCCCATGCGGTAGCCACTGTCACATGTGGCTGTGGAACATCTGAAATGTCACTAGTCAGAACTGTTTTGTATCATAAATACAAAAATTCACTCTGAATTACGACTTATTGTGTCAAATGGAGAATATTATTAAAATTAATATCATACTGTTTCTTTTTTACTTTTCTCAGTGTGGCCACTGTAAAAACTTAAATTGCATGTGCAGTAGCTGGCACGTTGGGCTGCACCATATTTCTATTGGATGACACTCACTCTGCTAGCTATTTGCATTCCACCTTGGTCTCTGTCTTCAAGTGCATTTCCTCTTGGACTCTTGAGGGCAAAAGCTCAGTGACCTTGTCTTTCCTATAAGAGCAAAGATATGCAGAATGCATCAACAAGTCTCAGAGGTCCTAAAACACCTGTCTTAGTTCATGCTGTTATAACAATGAAAAATAGACAAGGTGGTTTTATAAACAACAGACGTTCATTTCTCAAGTTCTAAAGTTTGGAAGGCAGAGATCAGGGCACCAGGCTGGTTGGATCCTAGTGAGGGCCATCTTTTGGGTTGCAGACTGCCACCTTCTGGTTGTACCTCGTATGGCAGAAAGAGGACAGAAGAGCTCTCTGGGACTGTTGTCTAAGAACAGTAACCCCATTCATGTGGGTTCCACCCTCAAAACTTATCACCTCCCCAGGGCCCTATCTCCAATGCCATCACATTGGAGGTAGGAACCACCATGCCGATTGGGGAGGAGACGGACTTTCAGTTCATAACAACATCTAAAGAATGTATGTCTCGCTCTAAGCACATCACTTTTAGTGAGCACTGGAAAGAGGGTGGAAGAGGCCTCCAGGTATGAAGTGTCTTGTGCAGCTTCTAAATAAAACAGGCAGCCCCTGCACAAACCTGAGAGTTGGTCCTGTGAGGGAGAAATCCCCAGTGATATGGAGGTGAATGACGCTGACAGTCTCAGGGCTGGGCACTCACCCTAGTGCAATATTGGGCACATTCTCATTGTCCGCTCCCTGTCAACTGAAAGCAGCTTTCTGGGCAGCATGTGGCTACCTTTATTTATGGACATGCTTCAACAGAATCCAGGTTCAATAGTAGCAGCTAATGCTTGTTGAGTGCTCATCCTATCCAGCAGCATTCTGAGAGCTGGGCATGCAATCAGTCTCTCATGCAATCCTCACCTGCAATGTCGGCATGATTCTCAGTTTCCTCACTTTTCAAAGGAGAAAACAGAGACATAACAGACAGCAGGCAGTGCCAGGTGGGAGTAACTTCTGGCCACCCACCTGGTCCAGACACTAATGGGTAGAGCCTAGTCCCTTTTACCCCAGTTTCTCTGAACAATGAAGTCATCCCCTTGGAGCCCAGGGCTCAGTGCCGAGGCCTGTTCTTCACCAGGCTTCCCACCTCACCCCCTGCTGGTTCCCATTGGCCCACCCTGCCCCAGGCCTTGGCTTCCTGACCACAGGAAGCTCAAGGTTGCTGCAGACCTTGAGGTGACTATTTCCTGGACCTGGAGGGCTCCCATCCTGTTATTCCCAAAGCTGAATTCTTTGCATTCCTTATGCTTTCAGCTTAAGTCCTCCAGAGGCCTTTGCCAGCCAATTAGTTCTCCCCCTCATTCTTCCCGGGGCCTTGGGGTGTCTCCTGCACAACACTTCCACAACAGTGACCTTACTTCCTTATTTATCCTCATTCCTGGTCCCTGTAGGAGCCCTGGCTTTCCCAGGTCACTCTTGGACCCTGTGTAATGACCTCTGCCCAGTAAGTACTTAATGAATACGTGCAGAATAAATGAATCTGTTCAGATGAGCCAGCCTGTCTTATTCTGGGGGTTTAAGAGAACAGCGCCTTCAGAAAATCATTTTCAGTATTGGTCAGGTTTGTGAAACCAAGGTGTTGAGTGGTACCAGGAGAAAGCTGATCAAGTGTAGGTCAAAGAAGAAATAGGAAAAAAGAAAAGAAAAGAAAAGAAAACCCTGAGAAGAAGAAGATAATAAGGGCCTATTAAGTAGAACAGATGTCAAGAGAGGGTTTTTCTAAGTTTGCATCCGGAGCGGGGCTTGATGGGCATAGTGAAGGATAGGTGGAGTTCTCAGGGTGCATGTCCAGGACTTGCCTTTGGTTAAAGGACAGGGCCTGGCCCTGGGCCCTGTGACCAAAGCTGAGTGTGTCCCTCTGGACACTGCAGCCCAGCTGAGCCTGGCCATCCAGTTCCAGGGGTCCTTACTGGTCACTTGCTTTCTGCCATGCCTCTTGCTCCGTGGGTGAGTTGACTAAGATGGGTTCCCCCCTATAGAAGCTCACATCCCCTCACACCAATAGCACTTCCTGGGTGTCCAGTAAGCATTTTTAAAGTAATGGATTCATGAGTGCATAGAGTTTGGCCTTCGTCTTAAGGGCCTGGAAAGTAACTGGGGATACCAAACAGAATGTTTAGAGACAGAGCTACAAGTTAAGTAGAAGAGCTGCGTACTTACCTTTTGCAAATTGGAGTGGCTCTAATCACTCCATTCATAGCTTTGAACCAACAAGAAGATGAAGTTTTGTCTCTGAAGTGGCACCAGGACTTACTTTGTGACAGGCACTTTGTCACCTGGCAAACCCTCCCTGCCACCTCACAGGGTGTTTTGATGCGCCTACCTATTCTATAGCAGGGTAAAGTGGACCTCCATACTGGACTCATCACCATCTGGGATGGCTGATTTTAGGTGTAGACCTGACTAGATTAAGAAACCTGGGAAGGTGGTAAAACAGTTACCAGTTACTTCTGAGTGTGGCTGCGAGGTTGTTTCCAGAGGAGACAGTGTGACAGTGGATCAAGTGGGGACAATCGATGGGTACAGGCACCATCTAATGAGCTGGGGGCCAGATGGCACAAAGGAAGCAGCGAAAGTTGATTCCCCCCAACCCCCTTCTTGCGCTGGGACACTCTTCCACCTCAGACAGCAGAACTCCAGGTTCTCTGGCCTTTGGGCTCCAGGACAAACACCAGTGGCCCCTTGAATTCTCAGGCTGAGAGTTGCACCATCAACTGCTCTGGTGCTGAAGCTTTTGGACTTGAACTGGACTATGCCACCAGCATCCCAAGATCTTCAGCTGGTAGACAACTTGTCGTGAGACTTCTCAGTCTACATAACTTGTGAGCATATTCTCCTAATAAATCCCTTCTCATTTACTTACTGTCTGTCTGTCTGTCTGTTTATCTACCTACCTATCTATCTATGTATCCATCATTTACTGGTTTAGTCTCTCTGGAGAATGCTAATATGCCAGAGCTGGAAACTCCAACAACCAATGGAATGTGGACCCAGGCAGATTGGAGTCTAAGGCCACGCTGCACAAGGTGCCCTTCTACTTCAATAGTTTTCATCCTGCTATTTGCACAGACCACAGAAGGAGCTTCCAGGTGAGGCAAAATACCACCATTAACAAAGCCAACGCATTTCTTTTTCCTCTTCCTTCTCCTCTAAGTGGGGTATAGAGCAGTTGACCAAGGGCTCCAGCTGAGTTGCTTAGACTGTAGCATGCCCCTATAGATTTCAGAAGCAGCCCCATAGAGGATGGCCCCACAGGGTATTGGAACCTGAACTTTCTATATAAGGATTGCCCAGGGTGCCAAGGGATGGGGGATAACCTGAAGATCTTGACTAATTTGACAAATGAATTTATTACCAGGGAGGATCTGAGTCATTAGAGCTTTGGGGGCATGCCAACAAAGAGAAATAAATTGGATTTCAATGTGCAGGACCCAATCGCTGCATCCCTGCTGACACTTAAACACAGCACCAACCTGAGCATGAAGAATTCTTTCTGCCAGTTTGGCAAGGTCAAAAACATTCCCATTTCTACCAGGCAAATTCCCTTCACCTAATGCTTTAAAAATTCCTGTGCAAATTGCCAGGGACTAGATCAACAATTACCAAAGCATCTTTGGCCTGTTTCCTTCCATTGTCCACAAGTCCCAGGGGCTCGGGCTTCCTCAGTCATTATGTGGATAACTTTCAGGCAGAATCTAACAGAGATTAATTTGGAAAACTCCCCTCTGAAGGCCTCTACTTAACTAGATTTCTGTTTAACTGGAGGTTGAGTAAAACCTGCCTGGTTGCATCCTTTGTTATTGAAAATCTTTTCAAACTGTGTTAGTTCACACATCTGCGTAAGTTTCTGGAGTAGAATAAAAATAATTACATTTTTTGCTCCATGATCAGGCATCTTGCAGTGCCTTGGGGCATTATTCTGCCGATCTGTTAGGATTAAAATTTAACTGCAGTTATAGATAGAAGAGAAATCAGGCTCTACCTGTTCTGAGCTGAAGAGGAAATCCATCCAACTTTGTAGAGAGCAGAATAGTCTCTTGCCTTCTCAGTGCCTAGCAGAGTGTCAGGGCCTCATTCTCAAAGATACTAAGAGTCAGTAAATACCTGATGTGGACTTTTCCTTGCAGTTCTCCCCTGAATGGTAGTGACAGTATGTATTCTTCACTGCTGGTGATTGTTCTGGATGTTGGGCTAAGGACTTCACTAGGTTACATCATTTCTTCTGAATTGCCATCAGTAAATGGACACTGGCGGGCTTCATCTCCACAATGGAACCTCAGAGGGGCTGAGTGACTTGCTTCTGGGTCCTCCAGTTAGCAGCATGGGTCTCCCCTGGGAACTTATAAAAAAAAAATGCAGGATTTACCTGACCTGCTGAAATAGAACTTTAATAAGACAACAGCCATTTAACAAGACATCCACGTGACTGTGGTATGCGTTAGTACCTGGAAAGTACCAAGTTAGCGACTCAGTCTCTGAAGCCTGCCGCTTGTTTTAATCCAGCACTTTCTTTTTATTTTTGTGTAATCTCAGGCAAATCACTTGGCCTCTCTGTGCTTTAGTCCCTGGTTTTAACAGGATTCACCTCTCTGGGCTAGAGTGAACTCCAAGGTAATACATGGGTGGGGGGGTCCAAGGAAGTTGAGGGCACTGTCCTTGCTCGTGCCTAGAAGGGGCTCCCTGGCTATTGTTGTTGATGATTTTGTTGTCTTTGAGGGCTTGGTAGCCAGCCAACGATGTTGAGTTTTTCATGGTTATGTTATCTGTTATCCTGATGGAAGGCTTCTGTCTCCCTTGACAAATCTTCATCATTTAGTGCTGGGGCTCCTGGTGCCATTGAAAACCCGCTTGGACAGGTTCCTCTGGGGCCTGGGATCATCTGCTTGCACCCAACATTCTGTACAGGTGAGTCCACCAGAGACCCTCCGAGGTGCCAGGTGCAGGTTTTCCAGGCTCTCAAGGCAGAGCTCTTCTGGCGCTTGGTCCTTCTGGGAGCTGGAACCAACAGTTCCCAGTTCAGCTGGGAGAGGAGGCATACCTGGCTGGAGGGGGTTCTGTGGCAGCAGTGAGGCTGGCTTCTTTCTCCCTTCTCCTTCTGTCACCGCAGATGAAAGCCAGTGTGACCACCAGAGAGACTGATGATCCCCCAAGCCTGCAGCCAGGAAAAGGCAGCAAGCAAAAGTGAGCCACCAGCCTAGCAGCATTGGCTGGAGATTTATATGGAAACCTACCCATGAACAGAAAGCCGCGGGATTGATAACAAGTGCTGGGTACTTTGTTCTTGTGTGCTGAGATAAGGGCAAACAAATTTCGTGCTGTGATGTAAGCTCCTATCTGTAGACATTGGGACAGGTCCTTTGCCCTGTTGCTGGGAGCTGGCTTGACAAACGATCCCCTAGGCCTATATCTCAGAGACTCTATCAAGAGGTCATTCTGGGGCCCCAGTGTTAAAGGTAGAGGAACTAGCCTGGGTACAGGGGGACCTTTGTATCCTTGTGCATGTGCAAGCTCAGAAATTTGGCCATAGCACTAGTGATGGTATTTGGAAAATTCTGGAGCAACACAGTGATGGCCTTGAGGAACTCAGTGGCCCAACAAGAAGAGAAAACATGCAGGAGACCCAGGAGACGTACGTCCCCATTGCAGGCCACACTTGTCCTTGGTTCCACAGTCGAAGCCACCTGACCTGGCTCTGCTCTCTCTGTGGTCAATGGCAGGTAGCTAGGTGTTCTGTTTCCCTCATTTCTTATCACACCTGATTTCCGGAACCCCTGTTGCAGGGCCTGGCCTTCCCGGAAACTGAAGCAGTGCAAAGAGCCCCCCAAACCCTGAATCTTGTGACCAATCAGGAAGATTTCAGACCTATTAAGAGTAGCAGGCAATGAGTTTATTAGAAGGGAGAAAGGGGAAAGGGGACGTTCTCAAGGAAGAGTGGGTCCTCTCAGAGAGGGGAGGTACGGGGTGCCTCTCCTGCACTCCAGTTTTATTGGAGAGTCCAGAGAAGTTTCCAGAGTCCCATTCGGGTCCACTTCTTCACTTTTGGCTGACAGCAGGATGACCTCAGACTTTCAAGTCTGCACTGTCATGACAACTATAGGTCATTGGGCCCATGCTGACCAGTTCTAATTGGATTCTTAACCACAAATTCTTACATATTTTATGTTTAGGAGGAATTATCTTTATCTCCTTGAGTTCCAGGATCTGATTTGTTAAAAGAATCACAAAAGCCTCCCCTTCAGGGTAACTTGGGTTCTTCTTATCAACATTATTTCAGGCCTGTTTTTCTCCTGCAGATAACAGGTAAATTGCTGAGGAATGTGACACAGCCTGACCCCTTAGGCTAGGCAGGGCTGCAGGTAAATTGCTTCTTGGAAAAGGAAGCAGGGGATCAGCACAGTGGGCCCATTTTATGGAATTTTCCTCTTCACCTCATGTTCCCACCACTCACATCTATCTGTCCCTGACCACACTCACTGGGCCACTAAAACTGGTTGCATCTATCCCCTTTTCCATAATGTCCACCAGCTGGGGACAAAGGCAATGCATCAGTGACCTTTACATCCCTTATGTATAAGCTCACTCTATGTGTGAACATTGTTTACAGAATAAGAGGGGTAGCGCTATGAGGATAAGCCTTTTTGAGATATTTAGGATTACAACTTAAAATTTGGAAACCTATCTTTATCCAATAAAATACCTTATTGGTGTTTTGCATGTAATTTTTAAGATCCTTAGCCATTATATAATGTAAGTATTATTATCTCCACTTTAGAAATATTGAGCTGGGCACGGTGTTACACGCCTGTAATCCCAGCAGCTCAGGAGGCTTAGGCAGGAGGATGGCAAGTTCAAAGCTAGCCTCAGCAGAAGGTAGGCTCCAAGTAACTCAGTGAGACTCTGTCTTTAAATAAAATACAAAATAGGCCCGGGGATGTGACTCAGTGGTCTAGTGTCTCTGAGTTCAATTCCAGGTACCCACCCCCCCCCCCAAAAAAAAAAAGAAATATTGAAACTGAGTCATCAGAAATAAGAAATTCGACCAGGAAAACACAGCTCTTAAGTGGTAGAACCAGGATTTAAACCTACAGCTCTTGTATACTTATCCCCTGTTGCCCAAGCTGATGCTCAAGTCCTGATATGTCACTGTCCATGTTCTTCTGGGGTCATCCCAATTTCCCAACTGTAATTGGGCAGAGCACTGGTGCAAGATCCCCACGACTGCTGGTAAGTGGGTGTTGAACGTGCAGGAGAAGGAGGGATGCAGCCAGGGAGACTGGGCTTTGAGGCTCACACAAAGCCAAGCATGATCCCCAACAAAGTAGGTGCTTTTTCATAGACCTGGGCAGGAGCAAAGCTGATGGCAGGCCAGCCATGAGTGCAAGGGCCTTCCAGAGGCTAAGCAGCCGGGGACTGTGAGCCCAACCCTGGACTGAGTGACCAGGCTCGGGGAGGGGGTGGTGAGGGAGTAGAGAACAGGTTGATCTCCAAGACACATGAGGCCACCTTCGTGTTCAGAGTAAGGCAGACAGACATGCGCATGGTACATGCGAGCGTGTATGTGTGCACAGAGGAGGAGACACTCGAGGCCAGAGACGCAAGACAGGATTGTTTTATATTGCAGGTACGTCTTAGGAGCACTCAGGCTCCCCTGGCACAGGACGCTCAAGCCATCTCCCTGTCCCACTGCTCTCCATGTCAGTGCAAATCATGTGAGTAATACATGTAAATATAGATATATATTCATGATTTTTCCCTCATACAGACTAAAAGTTTATCTTTAGAGTTGGTTAGTATGATTGCTTCTGGAAGGGCAAAAGTCCCCAAGTTTGGAAAGAGAATAACTTTGCATATCATTCTCTGCCGCAGTCTGGCTGGGCACAAATGCCGCAGTCTGGCTGGGCACACAATCACGAGCCACCACACAGCTTGTAGATTCAAACAGCAACTCTTTATTCCCGAACTCACACCAGCCGTCTACAAACACGTTCTGGGGAAATCCACGTTCTCTGCCCAAATCCACGTTCTCTGCCCAAATTCTCTTCTCTCCCAAATTCACCTCCACTGGGCTTCTATCTCCAAAATATACTGTCTAAATCCCGTGAGAACTCAAGGGGAACTCAGGCAGCAGGATACGCCCTATTCCCAGCAGGAATAATCTTAAACCTTAAACCTGGAACCTAAACTGGGAACACCCTAAACACGATTATCTTAAAACCGGGAACACCCTAATCTGCCTTGGTCCTTGAGCAAGGTCACGTACATTCAATGTCACTGCAACATGTCAGCAACATGGGGTACGCTGGCAAGGAAATTGTCATACCTACTTGGCTAATGGCTCCCAGCAATTCTCTTCTATGCTGTCTGACTCTCTTGCTCCTGAATGTGAACTCCTTATTCAAGATGACAAGCACAGACTCTGTCAGGTGTCTGCCTTACCCCTGGATGTCTGTCTCTCCACCAGCTCTTGTGAATGAACAGTTGTTTCAGAGTGTGACTCATCCGTGGTGTGTTGACAACCTGGCTAAAGGTGGCTTCATACCTTAATGAAAAGAAGTGGACTGTGGAAGACCTTGGGGGGCGAGGAGGAGGGAATGTTCCAGAGAAGGCCAGACTAGCCAAGGAGGTGATTTCTGCATGTTCATCAAGACGCAAGCTGGGTTCTTCCCCCTGACTCTGGCTTCAGTGGCAGTGGCTGGGAGCCTGGGAGAGCTGAACTGGATGGCGGGAACTTGCTGTTTTTGAGAATGAGATAGCTGTAAACCCTACAGACATTGTTCCTGGGACCACCTGTGACCCCAGGGCTGAGAAGCACCCTGCAGAGAGCAGAAGCCCCCGACTACCTCAGAGGCACTTGGCAGGTCTTGTTCATTCTGCCCTTAACCAGTCCTGTCAATCAGTGCTCTAATTTACCCATGATCATCTATGGCAGGTTAAGACCCAGAGTTTTAGGAGCTAATCACCACCCCAAGATCTCACAGCTAATCAGGCCGAGTCACCAGGTGACAGAGGTTTTCTGCCCATTGCCCTACTCTGCCTGGAAGGAAAGAACAAGGACTTCCACACCAGCAGGTGCTGGCAAGTCATTATCTTAGTGAAGTGGTTTTCAAACAGTGGCTGCAGCAGAACAGGCCCCAGAGCTTGTAAAACACTGTTGTTTAACCCCACCATGCTGAACCCCACCATGCTGATTCTACAGGTTGGGGACAGGGCCTGAGAATTTGCTTTTCTGTGGAGTTTCCAGGTAATGCAGAAGCTTGGGTTGTGGAGGACACTTTGAGAAACCCCCTTTCAAAATAAGGAGAAAGAGAGAGGCTCATAAAGCTTATTCCGTGATTTTGGTGTCAAATGTGATGGAAGCGGCCAATATATTGTTTTCTTGTAATTTTTTTTTTTTTTTTAGTTTTAATAACATACATTAGTAAATATCCAGCTATGGCATCTATTTTAAACAAATAAGGGATATGGCTTTGTGTCTCACACAGGCTAGAAAGAATAAGTGCACTTCACAGCGTGGATTGTGGAGATGACCACAGTACTCCCCAGAGGAAGGACCAAGTCAGTAAGTATGACTCTGTGTGTCCAAGTGACAGAAACAACTCAAATCGTCTCTCCTGAGATCATCTTAGGCTGTATGTAATAGACACCTTCATCAGGTATCTTGGAACCAATTCCTGTTTTTCTTGTACAACAGCATTTCTGGAGTTAGAGTGTCACTAGGATTGCTTCAGGGGTTCACCAGTATCAGGTCTGGCATCTCTGTGATCCTTATCAATTTTCTCTTTTACTCATGGTCTCAAAATGCTGTTGTGGCTCCAGTCATCATATCTGTGTTTATGTAAGGTAGAAAACAAAAAAAGAAAGAGTGTTATCTACTTGATCAATTGATTATATCGTTTGTGGCTTCAACTGTATCATAGCCAAGGAAATGGATAGAATAAATAGTTGGGAAAATTGCCTCTGTATATGAAATCAGGGTTTTACAGTCAAGGGAGATGGAGCCATTGGATATTAGGAATTCCTTTAATTACCTTGCTATAGCAGCTTGGGCAAAACGGGGAGATGCTGCCTTCCTGAGAAAGACAAGAATGGGGTGGCTTCAAAGAAGTGGCAAGAGGTACCTTTTCCTGTATAACAAGCCACTCCAAAACATGGTGACCTTTAAAGTTTAAAGTTCAGATTTAAAGGGACATTGATTTGCCTAT